TGAAACGTAGATTTGCTGTTTACTGGTAAATGAAAGCAACAAGAAATCTAAGCATTTCTCCATAGCATTTAAGATTGGAATTGAGTCAGATCCTGAGATCCCTGTGGCCTAAGTAGCAGTTGCATTTTTTCACATTTGTTTGTGAAATAATTGTATTATATTGAATTGTTGCCTGTTTTATGTGGCCATTGAAATCATAAGTAGAAATAGAATCCATGTTAATAAAATCAATCATTTTCCTTAACATAAAGTGGCATATTTATTTTTTCCTCTGTCCTGCTACCCATTTAGAAAAGAAACATAAACTTCTAAGTACTATTTTTTTCTTGGTACATGATTCCTATATAGCTGTGATGGCGAACTTATGGCACGCAGGCCACAGGTAGCATACAGAGCCCTCTGTGGGCATGTGCGGCGTCACCCCAGTCCTAGGCCTTCAGTCCCATCCATGAGTAACCTGCATCAATACCTGCGCAGGTTAAGCTTGTCGCACCTGCCCCTGCCTCCCCAAAGCATTTTTTTTTACTAACCTGCCTTTCAGCTGTATTCTTGCTTCTCAGCCTTTGCCGCGTGTTTCCTCTTCCCTATTCGCGTTTTTACCTCAGGGCCGGGCTGAGAGGTTTAGGCCTCGCTTGCAGCCTCGGCCTCGCTTAAGGCAGCCAAGCCTGGTGATGATGATGCCACTACTGCTGCTTCTTTTGAGGCGGGTCCCTCGGTAGGCGCTACGGAATGTGAGACCCAGCCTCCGCCACTGCTGCCGCTGCCATGCCAGCCAAAAGGAAACTGGTACCGCCAGCCCTCAACATCACCCCCACCATCGCTGAGGGACCCATCCCCACCGGCAGTTGGAGTGGAGCTGCTGGAATGGGGCACCGGTTATGGGTCTGAGGGGAGCGGGCGAAGGACGAGATATTTGTGAGGGGCAGCCAGGGTGAGCGAGAAAAAAAGAGAAATTGTTCTTGGAAGGTTATTTCGGGGTTGTGTGGAGCTGAGGCGATGAAGGGTTGGGGGAGCCGCTGGGAGAGAGGATGCAGTTAGTCTTTGGAGGAACATCCCGATCCACGAATGGGGGTGGTGGTGCCACGTCCAGGTGAAGCCCCGAGAGGTAGGCAAAGGTAGAGGTGGTAGAGCAGCTCGGAAGAACCGGGAATGCAGGTGCTGATGGTTGAGAGAAACTTCATTGATCTTTAGGGTTCAGGAAATGGTGGAGGAAGGATGGGGACATTGGGATGTGCCCAGTGGTGGGATTCAGCCACTTCGCACCAATTTGGCAGGACTGATAGCTAATTTTTTGTTGCCCAGGCTTTGAATGGACTTCCAGAAGCGGCATCCACACAGAGAACTGGTTGCTCACATATTTGAATCCCATCACTGGATGTGCCCCATGGGAAAGCGGAATGAGGTCCTGCCAGGCAGTTCTTCTGCCCTCAGACGGTCCGGAATGCCAGTCAAGAATATTTCTGGCTCAAAGTTAAAATGAAAGGTCCTGGGGGCAGGAGTATCTCTGAGGATGGTGGTTTTCTTGCAGACGTTTCAGGACCCAAAGTGGGATAATAAGTGAACTAATGATGTTACTTAGTTTGGGTCATGAGACATCTACAAGAAAGCCAGAGCTCAAATAGGACCAAGGAACCCACAATCACCTTCCTCTTCTTTTCTTCTCCTCCACTCCACAAACCCCATTCTCTTCTGGCACTGCTGATGTTACCTAGTTTGGGTCATGAGACATCTGCAAGAAATGCTGAATGGAAATGGCACCCCTGCTCTGCCCCCTGCCTCGCCTCACCTCACCCCGCAGGATGAGCCTCCTGCCCACCATCCCACCTGCCAGAGATCCCCTGGATCTCCCCCAACCATGCCCGGCCCCCACAGGTGTGCCTCCTCATAAGCAACATCGAGGGGCCCCGCCCACCACAGCCCCGCCCACCCAGTGGGCCAAGACCACTGCAGCCACGCCCACCCAGTGATCACGCCTACCCAGTGGGCCATGCCCATCCGGCACCTGATGATAAATAAGTGGGGTTTGGGTTGCAGTTTGGGCACTCGGTCTCTAAAAAGTTCGCCATCACTGCTATATATTTTGGGATATATGTATATTTGCCTGCATGCATGCCTCTTAGAATGCCCAGGCATTTTTATTTATGTTTATGCATATTCCCTCAATTACAGATTATAGGATCAATTTGTCAATATTGTTACTTACAATTTCAATGTTTTTCTGTTTATTTTCGCATGTCAACTAATTTCAACCACAAACAGCCATGGCTGGATAATAAGCACAGCGTATTTGGAAGAGTAACTAAAGGAATGGAAGTTGTTCAGAGAATTTCAAATGTGAAAGTTAATCCCAAAACAGATAAACCCTATGAAGATGTAAGCATTATTAATATCACTGTGAAATAATAGTAATATTAATTTAAAAAACACCTCAGGGACTTCAGATATATGGAAATCTAAGTATTTCTGGTACAAAACAGAACAGATTTCAATCATCTCTTCAAAATGCTCTGAAAAATATTTTTAATGTTTTTAATAAAGATAAAAAAAGAACCATATTAAAGTGATCATATTTTGTTTCCTGTACATATGTCATATGTGGATTTTAATTGGTTTCCAGGCTTTTTTAAATGACTTGGCTAAGCTGGCTTGGGAAGCACGTACTATTCCATTTTCATATTGTTATGTTACTATTACTGGCATGATCTACAGTTGGGGACAAAATATTTTACCAAAATTTGTTTATTAACAATCATCTTGTGAAATAGTCTTGCAGATGACTTCATTAAAAAAAAATTAAAATTAAATATTCCAGATCTAATTAAAAATATTTTACTAATGATTGGTGGATCAAACATGATTGTTAGTAAATGCAGTTGCCCAAACTATAGTTTTGGGAAATCTGAAATCAGTACTTAAAAAAAAACAGTCTTAGTAATAACACTGTGAACTTATTAAATTGGGTAGAGCAGTGGTTCTCAACCTTTTTAATGCCACGACCCCAACCGGTTGTAAGTCGAGGACTACCCAACCGGTCGTAAGTCAAGGACTACCCAACCGGTTGTAAGTTGAGGACTTTCCCTGCCTGGGAGTGCCGCGCATGTGTGGTGCTGCCCCCTGCGCCGGCCGAGGTGTAGCTGGCAAGGGGCAGCGACGGCGCAGGGTGACCACCGGCTGGGCCACCAGCTGACCCAGCCCAAGGGAGGTAAGGCACCTGCCGGGCCCCACGTGTGCCAGCAACCCTCCCTGCGCCCGCCGGCCTCCCACCTCCCACCCTTGGCCCTCTTTTACTTACATTTTTAGTAGTTGCTCAGCAGGGAGGGGTGGAAGCTTTCAGACAGCTCGCCTTTGCTGCAGACAACTTGCAGCACCGTTTGCAGAATGGGACTTTTGGCGGGCTCAGCAGGGCAGAGACAGCCTGGACAATTCCTATTGGCTTTTGAAAGCCAATAGAATTAGACTCTATTCAAGAGAGTCTATTCTATTGGCTTTCAAAAGCCAATAGAATAAAAGGGAGTAGCACAGCTAAGGAAAAGGGGAAAAAAATGGCAGACTGCGTTGTCTGGCGACCCCCGTGAAATGGTCATTTGACCCCAAATGGGGTCGCAACCCACAGGTTGAGAAACGCTGGGGTAGAGGATAATTTGGATTTTAAATGTAACAATATTCAACGTTCTATCGAATTGGCTTTCTACTTTTGTGGCATGAAAAGATTGGACAAACTAAAAAGCTAGCACATTTTTATGATCTTTGAATTAGCCCAGTATAATTAATGACTTAATAGAAAAAATATTATGGCTAATGATATTACTCTTGTTATAAAGAAGACATTAGCTGGGATTTCTTGAAAATGGTTTAAGTCTATATTTTCAAAGCATGTTTAACAGATGAGACCAAAAAGTGGCTCAGCGTAAGTAAGCATTCTTAATTTTCTGAAGCAAGTATTAGATACAAAACAGGTCCTGTTCATATGCCATTGTAAACCTAACCAGATTACAATATTATAGTTCAGAATGGGAAGTGAGTGGAAAGCATATTGAATTCTTGTATATATACATGCTAAATAAATTAAAATTTGGTTCCAAAGGTTTTTGACTTAGAGTGTTAGGTAGTGTTCCATTAAGGATAAATCTGACAAAGCTCTAGCTACTAGCCAGTTAAGAAGAGAACATGACTGAATCATGCTATTGACAATTTTGAGTTCAGTTCTGTTAAATTTAATCTAGACAGTTTTATACAGAATATCCTGTAAAATCTATTCAGAAGCTCTCCAAATTTTTGCCAAAATTCCAAGTGAAATTACATTAAACATTGATGATAAGTACAGTATAGGAAAACCTGGGACTGAAGATAATACTGTATATCAGTTTAAGAAAAATAAATTCTGCAATGTAAAAATTCTGTAATTTAAAAAGTATAATAATTATAACATAATTATTTTATGTTGTACTATTATTCTTCAACATATTAATTTCTTTTAGCAACTTCTTACTCTTATTTTTCCTCATGTTGATGCTGACTTTTGTTGCTTTCTATTTTTATAATAAAGAATATGATTCGATTGTGGACTCAATATTGGAAAATTAAATAATGTCTTCTTTGTATCAAGTACTTTCTGGTAACTTCAGTCACTCATCCATAAAATTTTCTTACCAATAATATAGAAAGAGTTTGTCATTGTCTTTTTCTGAGATTTTTTTTTTTAAATTTCAAGTCTATAGGGACATATTCGTGATTTTTTTATTTAAATACTAATTAGGTCTGATCCTGCTTAACTCTGATGACCTAATGACAACTAGAAAGGGAAATGCCAGTTTTAATATACAGTAGTCATTCAGTTTAGGAATATTTTCCTTACACTATCATTTAGATAGATGCCACATCATCTTTGTATATGATGGGATTTTTAACCTGCTTTAAAAGAATTCACCAAATATTAGTTTAATCACACAGAGAAACAGACCGACTCACATTTCTGACAAGAATAAGCTTCAAAGAAACAGTTTTGATGAAATAATTTTATTACTATGATTCACTATCACAACTGTTAAATATTTATTTTTGTGAGCTATTTTACATCTATTATCGTTGCAGAAGGTGGATATTTTTATACAATAACTCCTGTTCCTTTGACTTATTCCTGTTTGTAATTAGAAAATAACTCATGACATAAAGTTAAGCTAAACTGTAACTGAATATTGTTGTATATGCTATTTTTATATGTAATATCATATGATACCTTTCTTTATCACTGTTGAACACTTAATTTTAATCAAAATTCAACAGTATCAGTTATTTTACAAAGATATCTTTAATTAAATACAGTCCACTCTTAAAACAGTTTATATGAAGCTCTTAAAAATTTCCTCGCAGCTGAAACAATTTTAAAAACTTGCAGACATTAGTACACTAACGAGAATTTAAGGTCAATGATGTATGAAACAAGTTTTAATTTCTGCTTGAACAAGTTATTTACAGTACAAACAAGAAGATGCTAAATGCAGTAAAACTTGAATTCAGACAACTATAATAGTTACATTCACAGTAACTTTTGTGAGTTTCAGTTAAATAATACTTTTATACAACTACACTATATTTGCAGCAGAGCTCAACTTTTGTCAATATTAACCAACAATTATTTTTGCACATTGTCCTAAAATCAACACCTTCAGTTTTACATAAAGCAAGCGATAGCATTTAAAGCCACTGATACAACAATTTACATTCAGTCTTTTGAACTGCTATATATCAAGTAATATCATGCACTCTAATAGCATTAAAATGAAATAAAATAAACAATACAGTAGCAGAAGTCTGACTTCATTAAATTATAGTAAAACCTTTTAAATTACTTCACACAAACATCTAAACTTGCAGTGTATTTTGACAGGAGTTGAAGCAGGTAAGAGATGTTTGTGACCAATATCCCCTATTTTTATAATATTTAGGTATCTATAGCCAATTATTTTAATACATCGAAGGTTTCGATTAATGCATAAATGCTACAGAATGCTGAAACATGCCTGTCATCCAAAGGGAGGGAACCACATAATGGCAAATATTTTATTTTAAATAGGTAGCATTTTTTTTTTTACTTTTAAAACAATTATATGCAGCATTACTTACTACTACCAATACAATATAAAAAAAAATCGATGGCTACAGATTTTTCACTGATCTTGTTTCAGAAATGATTATGTTTTAAAGATGAACTGATATTTCACTAAATTGATAAAACTATGATCCTGGAGGTTATCTAGGATTAAGCTCCACTGAACAGCACAACACAGAAACACATGCTTGTGCTGTATAACAACATGATTCAATCACTTCAGCAATTATATTTTGAAGAGGAAGACACACTTTGTGCTAATAGTATTAATTGGGAAGTAGGAGAAAGGAACAGCATTTAGCCAGGACTGGGTTGTAAATAACTGCAACTTCCATTACTTACAGTCTACAGACTTTGGAATACCATTCAACAAGGATCTTATTATTGGGCATCCAAATTCTGGGCTGATCCTTCACTGCAGCTCATGCACTACTGAAGCAAGTAGCAAAATCTCAAGTCAATCACAGTAGAAAACAGTAACAATGCCTCCTTTTGCAATCTGAATGAGCTTCATGCATGTCAGGTTCTGACTTTTTTATGTACTGTATTCAATGAATAGACTAAGAAGGAACTCTTAGTTTCCTCTTCCTTAGGTTTCTGACTCTGGTAAGCTATCATCACTGCTAATTGTTTTCTCCAGGTCTGCCACTTACTTCAACGCAGCTTCTGGACTCCTTGTTCTCAGCAGCTCCATTCTTAAGGAGATAAACAAGTCTTTTGTTGATTCATCTATTATTGATGATGGGGCATGTTTACATATTTGCTATCTAAATCCTGTTTTAATTGTCACTGGACTGTTGGGGAAGAACTATTGCTTTGGTAAGAAACATTTTACTAAGGACATTCTGCTTCTTAGGATAGCATCAATAATTATATCTATAGCTTCACCCTTTGCAGTCTTAAAACACAGAACTACTGATTGCAGCATTCAATCAGAATTCTGAATCTGAACATTTATGTATAAACTAAATAGAGTCTCTCCAACAAGAAAATTAGCAGGCATTACAAATATGCACTCCTAGATTTCTCAGAAAATTATCCAAATTTACAGTCTAGAACTAGTCTAGTCTAGTTACTCTATCAAGTTAATTCTACCTTAAAAGTTAGTGCATGTCAAAATGAATGAATTCAAGTATTAACATGAAATTATTAACTATGGTAAAGCATGACCTTTAAAATGCTACAACAGTCAAAGAATTAAACAATATTAAAGATCAAAATTACCAATTCATAGAACTTTCCCTATCAATAAGCCAACCAATATCAAGGGGGAAATGCAGAATTATCTTTATAGAATCACAGTAAAAAAAGGAACTTTAATCAGAAAACAAATCTCAGTTCAAACTAAAGTAGAAATAAATGTGCAGTCTGTGGCTTTAGGGAGAGAGATAGTGTGCTTCCATGTCCTACAGTGAGGGAAAAAATTATTTGATCCCCTGCTGATTTTGTACGCTTGCCCACTGACAAAGAAAGGCTATAATTGTAATGGTAGGTTTATTTTAATAGCGAGAGACAGAATAACAACAAAAAAATCCAGAAAAACGCATTTAAAAAAAAGTTATAAATTGATTTGCATTTTAATGAGTGAAATAAGTATTTGATCCCCTATCAATCAGCAAGATTTCTGGCTCCCAGGTATCTTTTATAAAGGTAATGAGGTGAGATTAGGAGTGCTCTCTTAAAGGGAATGCTCCTATTCTCCAGTACAGGAGATGGAGAATCTACCAATGGGTTTTCTCTGTCTGTTGAGACCAAGTAGCCAAACTTGACACGCCCCCTCTTGCTAGGAGATCCAGTCTTAACTTGGTCTCAGCTCTTGAAGACGTTTCAGGTTTGGCTCTCAGCTGATAGCAGGTCAAAGAAAGAAATTCCATTGGTGAATTCTCCCTACTTGACTGGCAATCTTTAAATTATTATCCTTTTAGCTAAATTTCCCCACAAGTACTGGGCTCAGTACTAAGTTCAAAATTGTTTGAGTGTGTGGGGTGGGGTGGGGAGTTTCCCTGCAGCTTTCCCATTTCCCTTCCCCAGGGCTCTGCGGGGGGGGGGGTAAATATTTCAGCAGGGGCTGATTTCAGCGTTCTCCCCATCTGCCCCATTTCTCGTCCCTCACCCTTTAGGTGAATTGCAGGCTGCAGGTCTGGATTCAAATACTTGAATTCGGACCGTCGGAGGTTTCCCAAGCAGCCCAGGACAGTCGCTATTTTGGTTGCCATTTCAGGCAACGAACTCGATCTTTTCCCATTTAGGCCAGCCGGTCAAAAGCAGTCCCACCAAGGGAGATCTTGGCACAGCGGCTAGCGCTGCATCCGCGATTCACCCGGACTTCAAGAATTCAATTAGGAGGGCCACGGAAGCTGTTCTCGAAGAACAAACCGTGGCCATTTTGACACTGCCGAAGCCACCGGGGAGCTGCCAGCAGGGGTAGGCACTAGTCGGAGCATTGCTGCTGAAATTTGCTGACTTGGGGGGGTTAGCTCCCGAAGGCAACTGAGCCCAGTTCCACGTGGCCTTCATAGTCCATCTAGGCCCATTCAGAGTAACAGCGGCCATTTTGCACCCTTGTGGTATTTCTCTAGGCCCAATGAGACCTATTTGCAGTAGGAGCGGCCATTTTGGATCCCACATGGAGGTTCATTCAGATCCAGCAGGCCTACTTATAGTTTACAACAGACCTAGGCCACATAGGAAAGGGGTAGGGGGCCCCTTATCACCCCTCTTCAATCGGGTAGCCACCATTTGAGACTTTGGTCACTTCAGGCCTCTACACCCCTTCAGGGGTTGTTTTACCCTTTTTCCTTACTGGTGAACACTGCCTGGCCACCTAAGGCCTCCAGGCGGAGCCCAGAGAGTGGTTCCAAACATGCCTCATCTACCATGACCAAAGCCCAGAGAGAACTTTTTTGTTGGTCGGGTGGTCAGGGGAGCAGTCTTGTTACTTGTTCCAATCTCGCTTCTGCCAACTACTTGCCTGCCAGAGCTTCTTCTCAGTTTTTTCCTGGGATTGCTCAAGCGGGTTGGAGGGATCCTCGCTGCCTCAGCCCATGAGCACGACCTTTCCATCCCCCAACTACGGCTGCTACAAACCTTCTGGCCAGAAGACGGCAGGCAAGTGTAAAGCTAAGACCAAGCATACGCTCAAGAAGCCCTCCAAGTTGGCGGAAAAGCAAGCCAGCCGTAGGCACCAGGCTCTGGAGAAGGAGTTCTCCAGAGCACAGAGGCAGGCCCAATTGGATATGGATCAATTGGCGGCCCCCAAAGTTGAACTCCCCTTGGGTCCATCGACATCCGCCCAGGGCGTATGGTCCATCCCAGGAACACCAGCCACACTAGGTTCGCCCTCCACGTCGGCTCAACAAACAACAACAGTGCCAGGCCCTGCCCCAGAGGCCACATTTATGCCCATGGCTGCTGGATTCAGGGGACCGGACATCGGAGATATCTTCTCCGACAGCCGCCTGGAGGCCTTGCTAGCCAAGGTCGTGGACTGGGCTCTAGCTCAGCGTTCCTTCCACCATGATCAGGAAGCTTCCACATCAGCCATGCCGCCCTTTGATCCTCCTACGGACTTTCCCGTTCTCCAGGAGCCAACTTCTCCCGCACAGTCCTCCATGAGCGGTTATTCTTCCCCTCAAGGTGAGGAACAACCGGAAATTAATCTCTCAGAGGATGAGGAACTTCCCCCTGAGCCTTCCCTTTCAGGGGGTCTATTCAACTCGAATCTTTTCCTCACAATTCTGCGCAAGGACACTTCCACAGTGAACATAGGGTCGGACCAGTTCCCTCAACCGCAGGTGCCATCGGACACCAGCCCCAGTCCAATATTTTTTGAGAAGGTGCCAACCAAATATCACATTCTGTGTCCCTCCATTTTTCTGAAGGGGATCCCGAAACAATGGGCTTCCCCTTCTTCTTTCCCTTCAGTAAGCGGAACTGACAAAAGAATCTTTAGCATCTCCACAGATCTCACCGATGCACTGGAGGTCCCCAAGGTGGATGAAGCCTGGACCCCCCTGGTATCCCAGATGGCTCTTGCCGGGGATCTCTCAGAGGCGCTCAAAGCTGAAGAGAAAAGGTGGGAACAAACATTCAGAAAAACCCGTCAATCAGCGGCATGGGCAATCAAAATGGCCCCATGTGCCTCTTTTTTTGTCCGGACTACTCTCTTATGGTTACAACAACTTCAGGCCAGGATCCCCACCAAGGACATTCGGACCCACCAGGACCTAGCCAAGATGGTGGCGGCCACTGAGTACGCTGCAAATGCAACGCTCCACTCGGCCATCTTTTCCTCTAGGTCCATAGCATCCAATATCATTGCCAGAAGGATGCTGTGGTTAAAACATTGGCAGGCTGAAGCCAAGCTCAAATGGCATCTAGCGACTGCACCATATTTGGCAACAACCTATTTGGGGAGGCCCTGGCTCCGTATCTCATAGAAAAAAAAGACAAGTACAAGGTCATGGCTCATTTGACCAAAAAGTTGGACAAGCACCCCACTCGTTACTTTCGGAGACAGCCCTTTCGTCAGACAATGGGCACAACAATCACCCAGCCCTCCAGACCATACACTCCAAGACAGGACAGGCCGTATGACCGCCCCTATGACAAACCAGGTTTCCAGTCCAGGCAACAGAGTCAGGCTAAGCGTCCATTTCAAGGGGCAGGTCGTTCATACCGGAAGTCCAAGTGACTCCTACTCTGACCTTCCCATCGGAGGAAGGCTAGCCCACTTTTTCCACCAGTGGGAACTAACCTCCACGGACAACTGGATATTACAAACCATCCAGTCCGGTCTGTCCCTGGAGTTCCTAGCCACACCCCTGGACCAATTCACCGTCTGTTCAGTCTCCAGGGATCCCCTCAAACAGGGACTTATGCAGGAAGTCACCCAACATCTGTTGGATATTCAGGCCATAGAACCGGTACCGACGGATGACAGGGGAAGGGGGTTCTACTCCATCCTCTCTGTGGTTCCCAAGACCTCGGGGAGCTGGAGAGCGATCCTGGACCTCAAACATCTCAACCATTACATCACTTACAAAAAGTTCAAGATGCAATCTCTCCAGTCCATTCTGGGAGGCATCAGACAGGGAGACTTCCTGACGTCAATAGACCTCACGGAAGCGTACCTTCATTTACCCATTCATCCAGCTCACCGACAGTTCCTAAGATTCTGTTACAGGGGCAGGCATTTCCAGTACAAGGCACTCCCCTTCAGCCTTTCTTCAGCACCCAGGGTGTTTACCAAAATCCTGGTCATGCTAGCCGCCCACTTGAGGAAGGTTCCAATACGCGCCCAGTGCTACCTGGACGACATTCTGATTCAAGCCTCATCCTTCCGGGCAGCTCAGGCAGACATGAAACACGCCATTCAGGTCCTGCAACAACATGGTTTCTCAGTCAACTTTCAAAAAAGCCAGACAGAATGATTCAGAGGAGAACTGGGTGAAAGTGTTGTGGTCAGTTGAAACCAAAATCAAGCTCTTTGACATCAACTCAGCTTGCAGTGTTTGGAGGAGGAGGAATGCTGCCTGTAATCCCACGAACACCATCCCCACCGTCAAACGTGGAAGTGGAAACGTTATGCTTTGGGAGTGTTTTTCTGTTAAGGGGACAGGACAACTTTACCATATCAAAGGAACAATAGACAGGACCATGTACTGTTAAATCTTGCGTGAGAACCTCCTTCCCTCAGCCAGGGCACTGAAAATGGGTCATGGATGGGTATTCCAGCATGACAATCACCACAATACACAGCCAAGGCAACAAAGGATTGGCTCAAGAGGAAGCACATTAAGGTCCTGGAGTGGCCTAGCCAGTCTCCAGACCTTAATCCCATAGGAAATCTGTGGAGGGAGCTGAAGATTTGAGCTGCCAAACGTCAGCCTCAAAACCTTAATGATGTGGAGAGGATCTGCAAAGAGGAATAGGACAAAATCCCTCCCTCCTGAGATGTGTGCAAACCTGGCGGCCAACTACAAGAAATGTCTGACTTCTGTGATTGCCAACAAAGATTTTTGCCACCAAGTACTAAGTCATGTTTTGCAAAGGGGTTAAATACTTATTTCACTTATTAAAATGCAAATCAATTTATAACTTTTTTGAAATGCATTTTTCTGGATTTTGTTGTTATTCTGTATTTCACTGTTAAAATAAACCTACCATTAAAATTATAGACTGATCATTTCTTTGTCAGTGTGCAAATATACAAAATCAGCAGGGGATCAAATAATTTTTCCCTCACTGTACATATCTATATAGAAACTAAAGGATCTTCAACTTTCCAAGATTTCCTGCTAAATAAGATTTTGAATAATTAAATATTAAAGAGAAGCCAAACCTGATCTTAAAGGAAAGAGAGACATAGTCATGTATCATCAGGTTAGAATGAACTGCAAAGCATAACAACTCCCAAATTCTGATAAGGTTTAACATGACAGGAAAATGAGAAGGGATTCAGGCATGCAATCTCAACTAAAAAAATGCTAACATGCTAAGACAAGGGCACATTTAGTCTTTTAAAGAAAGTCTGTTTTCCATGTACCAATTTAGGCAGATAATTGTAAATTCTGCAGTATTTGTTACATAATTCGAAATAACATCTGCCATATGTTTAACTGGTCATTTTTCTGTAAGACAATGCTGTTCTTTACTCCAACAACATTCCAACTGAGATAAGAAAAGTGGAAGACAAACTATCTGTGGATAGGGGCTTGCTCTTCATGAGTTTTTATGACAAGGAATTTAAGAGCAATCTGTCAAAGATGTAAAAACCCAACTCCTACAGAGAATTTTGGTGAAAAATAATGTGGAGAGAGAAATAAGCAAGAAAGGCACATGGCAGAAGCAGTCTACATAAAATGGAAAAGGCAAATGAAGCAGTCAGAACACTTTGTCTAAGCTGATAATATTTGGGTGGGCTGGTATATTTCCCACAATTCACAGCGAGCATGTGTAACTTAGACATCTTTGTAAATAAGTTGAGAAATACTACTCTATCATTTTAATATTCAAGAGGCCACCTTCATTTTCTTCTCCATTTTTATTAGAGTGCAATTTTTTTTTCTGGGCAAAAATTTCCTGTCCTTTCTAGAGTTGAACAAATGGTTTGCTGAATATTTAATCTTTGCTACAACCTGCACTATTAATTTTTAAACTTCTCATCTCAACTATATTAGTTGAGGTCCTATTTCACTACTGTTATTTTTTTCTGCATTTTCAAGGCTAATCATAATTTATCGAAAGCACACCAGTAACAAGCAATGTGTGCATGAAAAATTAACCACCAATTAAATAGGCTATATGATTTCAACAAGTTATAAAGTCAACAAATTGTGTGCAATTAAAGCATACAATATATTTGTAAAGAAATTTCATCTGATAAACAGCTTATAGAATAACTTTTCAAACTGTCAGATATTAAACGTAATGCTTTAAATATCAACTTTGAATGGATGGAACATTTGTACATTAGACATTTCTTTTCTAAATGTATCTAAAAATTAACATGAACATGTATGTTATATTAATGCCATTTTTAGAGGCAGCATCATTATATATACTTTGTAAGTTGCATTTGCAGAATAATAACAGTAATAAGTAAGTCTTTGATTAGCACAACAGCTCTTCCAAGGTACAAATAAAAAATCCTATGCTTATAGGAAATTGTACCTAAATGGTATTTGCAAAAATGTATAATTATTTAATATCAGAGAAGACTTCCCACAAAAGCAACATGCAAATTGAATAAAATAAGAATAAAGGAAGTAAATAAAAGCAATAGTAAGGCTATAGCACAAATGAAAAACTGTTATTAGTATAGTAGTATAGATATGGGCTTGAATTTTGTTTTAAGAGCAAGAACTATTAAGCAGAACCAAGCTTTTGTGCAGTTCAGTTCCTGCTTCACTTTAATATATAGTAAACTATGTTGGTAATATGAAACAAAGGTTATACATGAACCTGAATCTGAGAGAACAAGTGGATGCACCAAGGCCATCACTGAAAGAAGTGAAATTAAATAGACACTAAATCCTGAGTGAAGGATGTTTAATAGGGAAGGCTGAAGATCCTCAGTTCAAATTTCTTTAAAAGAAATTAAGGCACCTTTCCCACAAATACGTTATATCACTCTATTTGGTTACTGTAATTTACACAAGATATACCTACACTGTGCTTCAGTCTAGCATTCCAACAAAACTTTTTTAAGGAGTAACAGGTTTCGATGAAGTTCATATCTGACCATATCAATTCACATAAATAAATAACTGATCTTTATGCTTACTAGCTCTCTTAAGCCACATCCAGTACACCTGCAGCTACCAGATGCCTTGAAAGCCAATCCAGTCCTTCGTAAAGTCCCATGCCACTTCGGGCATCACAACCTTGAATGTACCAGCTACGGCCACAGCAAAGTTTGTGGAGATTCAGTAATTCTGTGATTTCTTCTACTGAAAGTGCCCCTGGCACATCCTGTAAAAGAAGCCCCATAGTATTAGTATGCAGACAGATAGTACTTTAAAAGTGAATGCTCTTATTTAAGAATGCGGTATTTTTTTTTACAGTTTGGACATGTAGCATAATGGGGAGGGAAAATGCATTTAGGACACTGAGCAGGAGAGAAAAGATAGACTACAACTTTTATTATAAAAAAATTGCTACAAATTGCTTATAATAAGAAATGCTTAGTCCAGCCTACCTGTAACTCTTGGAAGAGAGATAGTTACAGTTTCTGTAACTGCATTCAAATTATGTGATACTTTCTAAGGGAGAGGTCCTTCCAATCAACTTTCAGCTAAGATCCTGCCTTAAGTTCCAACCATTTGCAGAAATAATTGGAAGAAATAAACTCACCTCAAGAAACCAGACACAGATAACTACAAAGGGGTAGGCCCAAAAACTAGTGTTAGAAAGCAAAATTTACTTTTAGCTCTACTAATTACTGGCTAACATACGTTCACATCAGCCTTTAGCATGGTTTATTAATAATGTAACAAGTAACACAAGGACCAGCATTTGGTATTCAGTGAATGGACATAGGACAGAATTTCCTTTTTGTTCCGTCCTACCCAAGAGTTATTTTGCTCTCAATCTATCTTCTGATGGACTGAAGAGAGAGAGAGAAGGAAAACAGAAAGTCATCCTTCTTGTGGATGGCATTCCATTTAGCCAGTCATGTAGAGAAGGAATGGAAGTGAAGACTGAGTTTTCAATGAAAGCTGCAGATAAAATAATAGTGGCAAAAAGATTATTTTAATAGAATAATCTAATATTTATTTTGATTGATTTACTAATGTGTTCTTAAGGATTGTCATTTAAATTACAACAGTATTTGACATATTCTATATTTTCTCCCATTTTATAACTGCCAAAATGAAAACAATGGAAATGAAACAGAGAAAAAAAAGGCTGTAATACCTGTTTGTTGGCAAAGATCAGTAATAAAGCATCCCGCAGTTCCTTTTCTGTTAATAGTTTGGCAAGTTCGCTGTGTGCCTCGCTGACTCTGTCTCTATGGCTGCTATCAATGACAAAGACCACAGCTACAGAAAAGAACAATTATGCAGTTACATTTGTTATGAATTTGTTTCATCCTACTAAAATTTTATTTTTTGGGATCAGGAAGAAAATTAAATTTTAAATTCAATTTGAAAGCTAAGGATTAGTACAAAATTTGAAACTGGCATCTACTTGAAACAGACTCTTATATTATACAAAAAATGCAGCTTCTGCAACACCAGAAAACTTTAGAAATAGCTTTCAAGGTTATGCAGAAGTAAACTTTATTAGTTGAAGAACCAGCAAATCGAATGCAAGGAAGTGGTTTTTAATGAACTGCTCATCCAATCTAACAAAATCTGCTCCAAATAAAATAACACTAAAAAAAGGATGAAAGAATCAGTGAAAATATCTATATTTCCCTGTTCCACTGTGTATGTGGCAATAGTAGAGACAGGAGACACTGGTAAATCCAGTTCAGCCATGAGAAGAAACTTCAATTCATGGAGAAGTAACCATGGATCAAACCCAATATTTCAAGTGTTACAGATGGGCCTCATTTAACAACACTTGTTCAGTGATCAAATTTGCAATGGTGCTGAATGAATGGTAGTTATAACTGCTTGTCAAAGTTCTCACAGAGTTCTTTAGTCATATGATCACAATTTACAACCTTACATGCCAGATTCCTACAAATAAAATCAGTGGGGAAACAGGCAGGAAGTAAGAAATTGGGATCACATGAGATCTTCACTTAACAATCCATAGTCTTTACTTAACAACAGTAACTGGGACTGCTGGAACTGCCGTAGCTATGTAATATGGTCATTTTATGCCATGCTTTACAACTATATCACTTAGTGATGGAAATTACATACCCAGTTACTATTGTTAATCAAGGGCTACTTGTAATATGGCTAACTGCAGTTGTATATAGGACTGTTTATGAAAAGTACTGGAATACTTAGTTCAGAATATTGCAGTTCATCTGTTCATAGGAACTCCATATAAGGAACATAAGAAACAGTGGTACTAAATTCTAATTTAATTCTCAAACAATGCAAAATATTAACAATGACTGTCAAAGCCTTGAATGGTATAAGTTCAAGATATCAAGATAAGATCAAGAAGGACTACCTTCTTCCTCATGAAACTACCTGTCTACCAAGATCATTTCTGGAGGCCCTTCTGGTATGCCCTACATGATTAGGGTCTAGAGAAAAGTCTTTCAGTGATTGCACATAAGAACAGATTCTCAAACTTCATTCCAATGAAGGCCTCTCTTACTTCCTCCCTCACAAGTGAAAAGTTTACCTTCTGAGGAGGGTCTTTAGTATATCATCTTTCTTAATGTTTTTTGTTGTTGTTGTATTGTCTTTTATGTTTCTGCTTTTCAGAGAAATGCTTTTACTATTATTTGCTGTAAGTTGCATAGATTTCTGTGAAGGATATTTGGGGTATAATTTTTTAAATCAATTAAACAACAATCTCACTGTCATTTAGAGACTTCTGCAAATCCCTCAGAAATTCTAAGCAAACAAATATAAATGTTATCTACATCTTAAATATTTATACTTTGAAATTAAATGAATTTCCATGGGAGTTATTTTCACATTAACTACTACCAAATGTTTGGATGAAAAATACAATTATATTTAAAGTAATTAAGGCACAAAGCATTGTATTTTTACCTTGTGTATTGAGGTAATAATGTTTCCATAAAGGCCTCAGTTTGTGTTTGCCACCTACATCCCAAATAGTGAATTTCAGGTTTTTATATTCTACTGTCTCAACATTAAAACCTAAGGGAGTAAAAGAACTTTAATTATACATTCCTAATAAAACATACCCAAGAAAATCACAATTTTTAAAATCTCTGTTACTTACCTATGGTTGGAATGGGTTGCATGAACTCATCTTGTTTTAGTTTAAATAAAATAGTTGTTTTGCCTGATCCGTCTAATCCAAGGGTCACCACTCTAATCTCCATTTTTGGTCCAATGTGTACTCTATTGTCCTGCAGTAGAGAAAAAAGAGGTTTGTTCATTTTAGAAGCTAACATTCAAAGGCATTTTTACATGTCAGTCAAATGTTTATTCCTTTTGTTACAGAAGTCATAAATTGAGGATTGAGAAAGTAATTTAAATATCTTGTCAACATCCACAGACCTTAATAACTTGATGTTTAGTAAGAAACATTGACCAGTATTATACAAATCTCCAGTTTTGGAAATATACTAAGCTCTGGTGCTCAGATTGTGGTAGATATGAACAATTTTTAAAATTATGGCACTAATCATCTTTATTAGAGAAGGGAAAAGAAGCTGAAATACAACTTTGGTAGTGGTGGGGTGAATATGCATACATATATGGGCATACAGTTATGCATTTAAGCATTTGTTAAGTAAGGGATAGAGTGCAACATTCTTAAAACCCACTTGAGTGTGGAATGCTGTATGCACCTATACCAAGGGAAAAGTAACTGGGCTTTTATGCATATGATGCTGACTACAATTAACTTTCCCTTCAGTGCTATCCTGAAGAATTCTCCAGCGACTACTGAAGTCTTCCACACAAAAGGTGATATATCTATCCTGAGCTTATAACATATAATGTTACAAAAATGATTTGTAAAAGGTAATTAATGTTGAAGATTCCATATCTGATATATTACAACACTGGAAATCAAACTAATATTTTGCTTTCTGGTATTAATTTAAATAGATAGGTCAATGCGTATTAAAGTTAATGAATAAACCCACTGTCAGGCCTATACAAACGAAAAGCTGTGCAATCTTTCATTAGCATATAACTGTTTAACTAAATAGAGCTCTTTGTTCCATCTGGGATAGAACATAAATAGAAGGAATGAATGGATCTCAATGTTCCAGGTTCCACTTTTAGCTACAGATCATGAACCAAATTAACCTTTTAATTGTAGTTTTCATTTTAACCCAAATAGATTCTTGTACCATACAGCAGATTATTTCAAAGTTGCCCAAATTGTTAGTGGGAAAAGAATAAGAACCGAACTCATCTTTTGAATCTTTAACCTAGAGATTAAAAGAACTATACCTTTGTAAAAGTAACAGGAATGCTAGCATCAAGTTGAATGTGGTCTGCAAGTTCTGTAAATTGTTGTTGTTGTTTCTGCAATGTTTCTAAAAGCCTTGTAATTTCCTGTTTAGCCAAAACAACTCTACAGTCATCCTAAAAAGGGAAGCTAAATTTAGTGTAGTAAGCACAGGATTATCTAAATATTACCCTTCTCAACATATAACAGAATGAGAAATTACACCAAGATGGGTGAAATCACAGTCCTTGCACTAACCTACTTTTGGCCCAAATCATTTTGCCAACATTTGGCAACATAATGGTTGAATTTCAGTTACATTCCTGTCCCAGCCCCACCTAAAATAAGTGGAAAACTCATTTTTGCTCATCCTGGTAAGGAGATGATGATGAAGGAGGAGGGAAAATAATAGAACAATGGTTTACAATACAATTAAAATGATATATTTAACAAAACTACAAATTAGGGTATTAAAAAAACAACCAAGAACAGCAATAAAAATGCAGTCCAGTGCTACAGCCAACTTAATAACAACACAATTATATTAAAATTCCAAGTTAAATGCTGATCAAATCTCTGGTGGGATGCTTTGTACAAGATACCTCCACAAGAAAAGCATGATTTCTGGGCTCATACTATTCTTACTTCCCACATGCTGGTAACTAAGCATCTTAGAGCCAAGATGTGTATAAAATAAATCAGGTCTCTTGAGAAAGGTGGTCCTGAACATCTGAAAATCAAACCACATAGTTCTTTAAAGCCCACTTTCAATTCTACTATAAACCTATCAGAGGTCAATGCAGCAATCAAAATTCAAGTATTAAATAGCTGCAGTGGCTCTCACTTACTTGTGCAGGCTGCTGCATTCTGCATCAACTGTAGTTTCTGAATAGTTATTCAGATATTCATTATAAAGAGCACTGCAGTGATCTACTCTTGTGATAATGAGATGTGAGTCACAATCAATAGGTGACCAGAACTAATACACAGAACTTATACAACATAGAAGGACAAATCTGTCATGATTTGCAACAACAGATTATTGACATGCATTATTTGTCAACATCTGAATCAGACTTTTCTTCATGGCCACTTTATCCAAAAAACTTTCAAGTGACACTAAGTTTTTGAAATTGCTTTGCTTATAAGTAGTTCTTCTTCCCTTCTTTCCATGTATCACCAAAGTCATATGACTCACAGCTATGCTTATTCATTTTGAGATTATGTTTGATTATTTAATGCTGTTGTATATATTTATACATTTTTTTGATGGATTAGATTACTGTAACAAAGTAAAAAAAATCTATATGCCACTCTAAAACTGGTTAAGAAATATTTAAAAAATGGAACTTCAACTCTAGCAGATTTAGATTAAAATTATTTTGCAACAGAAATAAATACAACTGTTTCATAACTCATTAATATAAAAAACCTACAAAGACAGGACATTATTCATAAAAACTTTTGTCTCTTAAAGATCAGAGCAGCATCACACTAGAAACAAGAAAACAAGTTATATTTTATTCAGATGAAATAATACAAGTGAATTGCTCATCAATATTAAAAATGTATTTTAACTAATTTCTAAAAGGTTAAACAGAAAACAAAACCATTCAGTTTTAATTTACTTATTTTATATATTTTGGACACAATAGGACTTAAAGTTTGTTTAATAATTACATGTTTTAATAATCATGTTTAATATCCTCCATAAACACTTTTATCCATGGAATCCAGAGGCAAATGACAAAATGCGTATGAGATCATCACACAAACACCACAATCTGTACATTTGCATCCAACGTAACTGTAATGTACTGCAGATACTGATGCTTATACCTCAAAGCCAGATCTAATATGTTTTCTTAGATATTTATATCATTTTTCAGAAATGGGGTCTCAAACATTTTAATAAAAATAAACCATGAATGAAACTCAAGTTTTAATCTGAATTTGACTTCGACCAGTTGCTTATGACATTGTTGGTTCCCTTGACATTTTTGTTATGCTTTTTTTCTGGAGGATTCTGTCTCCCACTGCTATTTATGAAGTCAGTAATATTTAGTAAAGCCAAGTTATAATTCAATAAGAATCTGTAACAGAATTAATACAATCTGTCCAATATTTATTATTTACAAATTGTACAATATTTGTATCTGAGAGTTGGCATTTCAAGACATATATATCCATATCTGTCCCAATACTGATTTTGGTTATAATATTGATTCCCTACCTGCTGTAAAGTCTTTTCACAGTGAAGACATGCTGTTGAAACCTGTGATAACAGGATAGTCATATCTTCTTGTTGTTGCCTAAGCCAAATCAATTTTTCTCGCACATGTGCATCCACCACACTAAGTGCCATTTCTTCTTGGCGGCAAAGTGTCTCGTGAAGGTCAGAAAAATAGGCTCTGACACAGGACCGAGCATTCTCTGCAGTGCCTGGAACCTGAAGTGAGATTATAAAATCAAACAGAGAGACTGCAGAGGCATTATGATTATACTAAAATAAATTTTGTTTTGAATAGTATTTCTCTCTGATGTAAGTTCAATCATATATACAGAGTATTCATTTTTAATGTGACCATCCTGCATTATTTGGAGGAAAAAATGAAATAATAAGAATAGCAGTATTACAAAAGTCAAAATGCATGACTTTCAGATTTCACAATGTATTGTATCTCCAATGTTAAAAATCCTGAAACATTAGATCCACATAAGCACAAAATAAAATAAAATAAATAGTTTTCTGCCATTAATTCTGCACAAAAAGGTGTTTTTAAAAGTTTGTTTAAAGATATGAATGAAACTCCCGCTGAATATACTTTTGCCCTAGTTTTAAAAGAGTTCTCTGCATCCCTGACATTTTTAATTATCATGTTTCCAAATTCTCCATAATCAATCATCTCCTTAATGTTCTTGACATGTGTTTTTATCCTATAGGTAAAGCTTCTTGTAAGAACATTATCAATTTCTGCCATGGTTAGTGTTAACCACTAACTAGTGTTAGTGTTAATTTATTGCAAAAAAGTTCATAAAATGTAAATACTGTAGCATGTGACATATCAGTACTTCCAAAAGAAATCTAAAATTAAGAAATGAATTTATTATAAAGATTATACATACACTGAAGAAACTACAAAATTGCTTACATGTTCTGTATGGGTCATTCCTATACCATCTTCAAAGATCTGTTCTCCTCCTTCTATTTGTTGTACAATTCCATCTAGTTTCCGAGAATAATCTGAGATTTCTTCTGTGAAAGTTCTTATACAGTGAGCCATATCTAAAATGGAAGCACGGATCTGATTTGCTTCTGGTTCCAAAATACTGTGCTAAAGGAAAAACAAACAAACGAAACAATGAACATCTTTTCCTGAAGTTCTTCTGATCTGCATTCCATTTATCGCCCATTATAAAATTGGAAACAGAATGTTGGACATTCTGCTACAAAAACATAAGAATGCAACAGATATGGGAAAGCATACTTTCCAAATTCTTTAACAGCATTGGCCATTACAGGAATTTATATCTTTGGTTTACTTATATTCTGTATTTGGGTGTTTCTGTTCTCCCCTTGTGTTGTAGCTACGTTTGGGCACACTGGGAAGCACAGGGGAGCAGCATATGTTCCACTCTAGATCATGAAGGACAAAGAAAGAGGGGGGCTTAGAATGGAACAGTCAGAGACCTTTCAAGCTTTTAGCAACTGGTTTTCCTGAATGTCTGCACTGGGGAAATGACTTCTGTAATTTTCCCTGTATTTCCCAATTCAATCTTTTATTGTTTTCTCCTTCCAAACCAAGTTTGGTCTCATTCTATTTAGTTTTTGAAGTATGATCCTGTCAAGAGACAGAATCTCAAAGCCTTTTCATGAATTATTTCCAATATTCCATTGGATTGAAAATAATAAAAAGGGAGATGGTAAATTGAAAAAATAAAACTTTTTAAAACATTTTTTGATTTTGACTTGAAGCTTGAAAAAGGACATAAAGTTTATACAGATTAGTTGCTTCTAAAATATTACAGAGAGTAAAATGTAAGCACTGTATACAAACAGCATTTCCAATAAAATTAGAAACATTCATGTGAAGACAAGCAGCTTTAAAGTGATGTTACTGGAATGCAGATACATATTACCCACTCAGTCAGTCATGTATTAACACAGATGGAAATCAAGAATGAAACCTACTTTATGACCCTGGTGTTTTCCGTATTCTTTGCAAACACAACACATAAGAGAATTGGCCTGACAACCTTCTTCCAAGCACACAAATTCAATGGCATGCACTTGGTGCTGACAACACATCGTCTTTTCATGTGGCTTATCAGCAAGGGGCACACGTCTGTGTTTTGCTAATGTTTTTGTAGAATGTGTAAGGTGGGAACAGTCTGTACACAGGTGAGTAGCACAAACAGTGCAATACACAGAAGCCAGATGAGTGTCATCTTCATCACATCGGATGATGCACTAAAAATAAAGAAAACAACAGCTAGTTTTTTTTAAAAAATAAATGTTTATATCTTATTTTTTAGAGATGAACCTACAAATATAGCTAAGATAGTCCAGGTCAATTTTTTTTCCAAAAACTTTCTTAAAGATCTATACCAGATTTATTATATATAGAGAGATGCAGAGAGAAAGAAACTGAGAGGCCATTACTAAAAAAAAATCCTGTCCTTCATTCTCACCGATCTAGCTATTCTAACAATTATATATGAGTAAAGTACCTGACATTAATTTAAGAAAAACATGGGCAGGATTGCTTTGTTTAAAATATGTGTCTCCAAAGCCATTTGTTCAATTTAAACAGAGTAAAGAACTTATGATCATCCAAATTTTGCTGAACTATAATTCTCAGAATTTCATCACATTCTGAATATGACAATAAAATAAATACATTCTGATTACATTTTGAATATGACAATAAAATAAATACAATGAATTGTTATTACCTCTCCAGATAGGCCAATAGTTTCTTCAATTGTTCCACATTGACCACCCAATCCATTCTGCAATCGCTCCAGGAGTTCCAACAGAGCAAAGTTTTTTTTCAATCCCCAGACACCAGAATCACCTATTTGGGAAAAAAGACAAAAACCACCACATGTTGTCACTGAAATATTTATTCATTTATTTATTTATTCAATCAATCAATCAATCAATCACTTCAAATAGTCAACAATCTTGCAATAGTAACTCTAGTTGGCTACCATTGGTTTAAAAATGAAGGACAAATGAAGACAAATGAACAATAATACGAATGGCAACTGAGGACAACACAAATCATCAACAAATGCTTATCAATCTCATTAACCTCCTGACCCTTATGCTAAAACAAAAACGACTTATAGAATTTTTTTCCTTCTATGCTAATTATCCAAATAATGACAGATTCAGAACAAATTTTATCAGTAGAAATAATACCAAAAGTGGATTTGCAACTACAGAAAATTACTAGAAGAGATATTTCACTGGATCTACAAGCAAAACTGGTGGAGGCTTTAACGTTTAAAAAAGAAGTACAAATGACAAACCAAGTGAAAGATCTGGATTTTTTTTTCCCATCATGGCTGGCTGAGGAATTTTAAAATTGTCAAGACTGAGAAACGCTTCTCTAGAGAGTCAGTCCCGTTTTCTTAGGAACCTATTCTAAATTCCCTCTTTGTTTCAAATGCAATTCTTTCTCATCATACCAGCATCAGTAGTAGTGAAATCAATGCTTCATCACATATTTTCCCACCCTGGACCAAAATATACTTTGTATAGGTTTTATAGGCTTAATATCTTAGATTCTTACTAAAACTTCGTTTCATTCTGATTCAAACAATAGACAAAAAATGAAGTTCCTTGGCTTTTCATTAACCCAACTTGGCATATGCAATACAGTTAGTCCTCATCTTACAAATTATTTCACAGATACTTTCCCTACATTATCTATTAAGTGGAGATTTTATTATGCATGCATGTGCTTCTCTATGTATATTATTGTATGTATATTCCCTGTGAGGTGAGTTGGACTGAGAGAGAATGAGTGGCCCAAAGTCACCCAGCTGGCTTTTACAGCTACTATATACACCGGCATACATATGAATATATAATATCTGAATAAAATAGTTGAATTCAACTTACTCTTCCACTTACTAAACAGCAAAATCTTAACTATGTATCAAGGTTTAAAAATACCTTACCTAGTTCAGTAACTTGTCGATCAAAAGGACACCGAACTGCTCTGCCATGGAGAGGAAGTCGAGTAAGACAGTCATGACAGACAGTATGACCACATAAAAGAAGTCTGGGAACTTTGTCTCCTTGCAATGAAAACACATCTTCACAGACTCCACATTCCAAAACCTATAATTAACAGAAGATAATTGGACATAATTAAATGGAAGGAAAAAAAGGTCAATTTTGAATGATTAAGGATAGCTGTGTGGTTTAAAGATGCAATTAAGAGTGGAAAATGAAGACATTACTAATTTCTTCTTAGTTTAGATGATATAATTCAATCTCAGCCTGAAACAATTATTCTGTACATCAATCAGTCTGGGTGATAGAGTTTACAGCTCACATCCTAGAGCATATCATATAAAGCAGACATGTCAAACTCGTGACATCATGTGACGTCACGCAACGTATTGGAGCTTTTTTGCCATTGCCGGCAATGGGGTGGGCGTGGTTTCCCAATGATGCGTCCAGCCTGCGGGCCAGCAGTTTGACACCCCTGATATAAAGTGATCTGGTTCAAGTGCTTTCTCAAAAACCTTACACTGAGAACCCATATGTCCTTTCAGAGGCAATTTTACATGGAGCTTAGTTCCAGGAAAGACAATCTCAGTTCACTTTTCCCTTAAACCCAAAAAAATCATAAGATACTTCTTTAATATATATATATATATATATATATATATATATATATATATATATATATATGTATTGCCTTTTGGAGTGGAATAATATCTAGGTTTTAAAGGTTATTCTACAAAGAGAAAAATCTCAATTTATTAAGGAGTTTTCTCTTCCTACTATATTCATAGTTCCAATGACTTGAGATAAGGACTATATTTACTACATTTGTGAGGGGAGAGACTTTTTCAAGAATTACATGCCAAGAATAATTCAAACTGAAAAGGGCTGATTATGTTACTATAGCTACATCTTCCTGAAGTGTTTCACTCATTTCAATTGTATCCAATATGTCATCCTGAAAGCACAGGATCCTTCCCTGGTGGCAAGAATACTCATCATTTTTCCTTATTCAATCTATGAAGAAAATATGAAGAACTGATGAAGCTTCTTGGATGAGAAGTGAAATGTCTTCTTCCTCAAGGAAAAAAAAACATAGTCCAATTGCCTTCTGAAAATGCCTTTGAGACAACCATGACTGAGAAACTCCATAGACATATGAGAAAAATATAAATATAAAAGTATCTGTGGGAGAGTCTATTACTTTAACGCACTCGTTTTATCAGGATGGAAGAAAGAATCAGGATGGAACAATTCTGATTTGATGGCTTAGGCAAGGCAGGCCATTGAAACTACCCCCTTTTGCTCCAACGCCGCTTACGAGAATCTGCCCAGAGAAATCCCAGTGATTCTTGGGGAATGCCGAGAGAGAGAGAGAACAGAGAGAAGCGCTTGCCGGGTAAAGGGACGGATCCTCTCAGTTTTCCGTCGCTCTGTCCCTGAAGAAGCCAAAATCAAGGGCCCGCCCTCTCAGTCCTCACCTTCACAACAGGCCCCGCCGAACTTCGGCTGTGTCTGTTCCCGGCATCCATCCCAGAGCCAGACCCGATTTTGTTTACACTTAGTGTTGCCATCTTGGACATGGAAAGAAAACGACCGAGAGAAAGCGGACTCCACTATGGACCTACAACGGAGATCCCCTTGGAGACGGAGGAGGGATAGGAATGCGCGAAAACGTCACTAAAGAGAGACGGAGGCAGGTCTACTATAGAGACGTAAAAAAAAGGCGTTTAACTTGGGCCTTATGGATTTTTTACCACTACGCATGTCTGCTTCTTCTCAATTCGCTACGGAACGCCATATAAACAGTCAAAGTTCACCGGAACTACAACTACCAGAATGCAATATTTTGACAGTCCGTGTTGTCCTCGGTAGCCATTTAATATATATATATATATATATTCGAACCTACTGAAGGCGAACCGGTAGTGACCTGTCTTTCGGGAAACGCTATTGACGGAAAATAGCGGCCAGAAGCGGGCGGATTTTTTCTTTTTATAGGGTGGATGGGGAGTGATGCGGCGGCGGCCCACTTCTGATCTTGACTGAAGGAGGGAAGACCCAAGTGGCGTGGCTGAGGCAATGGATGTGACTCAAGCCAAACAAGAACATCTCTTGGCCTTGAAAGGTACTAGTTTTTCTACTCCTTGTATTAAGCTATTCCCCTCACCTGGTGCTTATTGTGATTTTCATCTACCTGGTTTAGAGAGAAAAAGCCTAAGCTTTGTAGAAAAACGGTATCCTACAAAAACGGGATCGGTTTTTCTCTTGTATGGCAAGGGCAGAAATAACGCGCTTCCTCCCATTTTTTACGATACCTTATTCGGGACGGATGGTCTGGGTGGCAGGGATGATTTGGTAAAAATTGGGAGGTGTGTGAGGCACAATTCATTGAATGTGTTTCATCTCCTCCCTTCAATTTGATCAGAGGGAAGAATCATGCTTCCTATGTGGCTGTGAATTTTCTGCAAACGAGGCAGAAGTTAGTTCCTGGTTCTTATTCTCATTTAGCCATGCAGGAAGAACAAGTCTGATAAGCAATTATAATATGGTTAGTTTATGAAAATAAAGCTAGCTATTGTATCTTCTTGGCTGGTTCTCCTAATAAATTAAAGAACTTGGTAATTCTGTTCTGTAAAGCAAATTAGATAATCCTCCATCTATAACCTTTCATTTAGCGATTTATCAGCACTGAGAAAAGTGATTTATGACCATGTTTCACACTTACAACCATTGCAGCATCCCTTTGGTCATGTGATCAAAATTTGGTCGCGTTGAAAACAAAAGATGCTATAATTCTAACTCACTTGTTTCATATCGGTATCATAAAAACTCTTGTGGTCTCAATGACAATAACAGAACTGTGAAGAATCTGTTAATAAAACTGATGGTGTCATATACCATTGGAGGCATTTTTCCAAAGGTATGCATTTATAGTAAATTAAAATAATACAATATTGTCTAACAAAATCCTCAGTGAATTTGATGGTAAAGTTGCTAGAGTATCTTATTACTTCTGCTTTAGGTCCTGTTCAGAGCTACACAGCACACAGAATAAGATTCTTTTGAGCAATATAGAAAACTTTTAAAATAAGACATGGATTCCCATTGTACAAGGATGGAAATGGTTCTGCACTACCGAGTTTGGGAAAAGGACCCTGCAGCATTGCAAAGCATTGCAGAAGAAGCCTTGAAGAAATTTCCTAGGCGGCAGCTGCCATTCTTCAAACCCTGGTTTCCAAACACACTATGTAAACTGCCTCTTAAACCAAAAAATGCTCCTCCAGTTATTTCTGTTAGAGAAGTAGAACAAGTGAAACAATATATTGCTACTTCAGAAACTATTTGCAACACTTCCTTATGTTATAACTGTACAGAAGGGCTTAAGGAATTTCAACCTAATATAAAAGCTGAACAGACTTTACATACTGAGCATGGAGAAACTAACTTGACCAATTTGGGAAAGCAACCAGCACATGGCAGTTACAAACTAAGGAGAACTTGGAGTGTTTCTCTACCCAGCTCAAAACTTAAAGGCAACATTCTTCCTTTATCTCTAGAATTGCAGAGAATTTTAAAAAAATTAAAGCTGCATGTATTCTATAGAGCATGGTGGATAATAGAACCATCCATTTGTAACAATCAGGTTTTGGAAGATATTTGGATAAATCTTAATGGCATGATCAAACACAATGAACTTCCATCTTGTAATGCTACAATCCAGAGACATGAAAACCAGATTTTGATTTTTTGTGATATATTATACTGTGAACATGTTGCAAACAGGCTGAGAAAAAAATTAAATATTAAGGGAAAGATGAATCTGCTTGTTCACAAATATGGGATTATACATAGTTTCTAATTTTTAGCTAAAGCAAGGCAATATGCCACTTGGAATCTGATAAACCATAATGAGCATATTTGCTACTGTATATTTGCCAATCACATTCTTCCACTCACCAGCAAAGGGCTAAATGGTAGATAGCATTTACAGATGATTAGTTGAGTATTAGGCCCAAAGTGATCTATTTCTTCTATTCTCTATGAAGCTAAAATCTAAATCCTGAATGTTTGTGCAGGCAACAAGCAAGACCTGTATGTTTAAATACAATGCTAAATAAACTCTAAATGGAATTTATGGATTTATTAGCTTTGCCTTCTGGCAGGATAAGTCAAGCAGAAGTAATCATGAAGCATGTGCTGGTATAATATTACATTTGGTAAAATACTTTCTTATAAATGATAACAGACAAATTTTTACAAAATTGTCCATGTTAAATATTTCTAGTTCTGTAGGACTAAAAATACCAATATTTTGTTGAGTACTAGAAATCCTTATGGTAGTCCCTCGCATCATTTCTGAATTTATTGTTTAATTAAATGATTTTCTTAATATGATTCATTCTATATGTTCAAGTGGAGATAAAACATATTTGCAAATGAATTGATTTTTACAAGATGTATTGTGCTGTAAGTTTTCCAAAGATGTACAGTTATTTCAGAAGGTGACATTTGGAAGAATTATTCTGCATGTGAATAATTACATTTAGAATCTTTGTTACTAGATCATTAAAGTATTTGTGTAATAAATATTAAATAATAAATACAAAGGCTACTTGTGTCAATTTTTTTTTAAATTTAAAGTTTTAAATTTAGAGTTTTAAAAATTTTGTTTGCAATATACTTGACCCTGTATTGGATTATTATTAGAATACAGTACTATTAGGATAAGTAAGTACCTTAGACAGTACAGTTGGCAGTAGATAGGGACGACAGAGTTATATGTTGTGACGCCTTCTTTGAATTTCCTTGAATGTTCATTTTGAGTTCTAATTACTATTGGAGAAATTTGATATTTTTATTTATAAATTTTAAAAAGAAGTCTGCCTCAATTTATTGAACATTAGTATGTTTCCTCTTCCTTGGCTCAAGCATTTTATTGATCTTTTTTTACAAAATGTACAATTAGTCTGAATGAATACTTCATTGCAATTTAAAATAGAAGCTAAAATAATATATAACACAGATTAATAAAATGATTGTAATAGAATAATAAGGCTGTCAATGCTGCAAATACTGTATATTCTTGCTTTGACAATATGCAAAACTGTCTGGTAATTACTGGGTTAATACACAGCTTAGAGTGGGGGGGAGAAAAAGCCCGGGAAAGAAGGAGGAAGTAAACTTTTGACCTTCACACTAATTGGATAATGTGACTTGTGACTGCAAGACAAGGGAGGGGTTTAGCAAGAAAAGGTTGATGCCAGCGACAGGAAATTAGATTCTGGCATCAACCCGTCCATCATGGTGACCGGCAAAATTGTAGCTCTGCAAATAAAGACTTTAGGAAACATGCCTGAAAGTTCTTTGAAGTGCTTCATTAGTTGGAACCTGTGACATCATGCCAGAATCCAACACTCTTTTCAAACGATCTGCGTCCCGAACTCCATCAGCTGCCTCTATGCCTGAGAGGAGCTGGCAAAGTTTCGGGGAAGATCTCATTATGGAGAGAGAAAGATTGCCTGAGACCAGCCCCGTAGCTGCAACAGTTTCCCCCGGGGGGAAGGCGACAGCCAGCAAGCCGGGGGAGAGAGAAATTTGGCAGATTTCCCAGCTGAGAGCGAAGACTTCAAAAGCAGAATGGACAGATAACACAGTTATGGGTGAGTCGTTGGAAAGATTTCAAAACTTAGAAATGAAAAACAGAAATCAGCTCCTACAAAGTGAAACCTACAGCCCTTCTATTGCAAATGTTTCTGCCATGGGCTCCAGCCCTGAGAGAGAGAATCCCAGTTTGAATCCTCTGCAGCAAAGGGGAAATTGGATTTCCAAGCAAGGGGCTGATCCATGTCCTCTGAACTTACCACAGCTAATAGAGGCCTTGCAATGTCTTGGGGCGGTACAGAAGCCAGGAAATCAGCAGCTGGGGGGAGAACAGCCACAGCAAGGAGGTAGGCTACAGCCCCCAAACGTGCAACCCCTGGGCATAAATCTGCACCCAGGTTGGGGCCTACAGCAACTGGGGTGGCCACAAGAGCAGTGGGGAGCCCAGCAGGAAGCCTGTCAGACCCTGCCTTCGTCGGCCAGAGACCCCAACCCTGAAGAGAGGGTGAGTTCCAGTCTGAGGCACCTGCAGCAATGGATAGATGGGTTTCCCCAGCAGATGAATGATCAGCAGCAGCAGAGGGCACCACCACCCCCTGCAGTCCAACAACAGAGAAGACCACTACAACCCCCACTTGCGCAGTCACCATTGGGAGGCCTACGGCAGCAGGGGGTACCATCCAACCCCGCTGGCCAGCAGCCATGGAACCAGCCCCAGTGGGGGCCACAGCAGCCTGTGTTCGCACCACCCTTCAATGCAACCTTTAATGGGGACCCAGAGAAGCTGATTTTTTTTCTCAACCAAGTGCATTTTCACTTGAAATGCTGGGCCTATCTGTACCCGGAACCAGGGGCCATGGTCGATGTTATTGCGTCCAACCTAGAGGGAGAAGCATCTGAATGGCTGAACCATTTATATAGCGAGCAAGCCCCCGAATTGGAAGATCCCCACCACTTTCTTTTAAGTCTGAGAGAACGATTTGAGGACCCATCCATTGGCCTCAAAGCAGCAGGACAAATTCACAAAATAAAACAAGCTGGGAGGCCTGCCCTGGAGTACGTGCGAGAATTCTGCAAGATAGCAGGTCGAATAGAGGGGTGGCCTGAGCAGTCCCT